TTTCAGCAACAGGATCAGGCCACAGTTTCTTCCAGGCTGATTGCATGGTCCTGAAAGACACTTCCCCCCATGCTCTGTCTATGAGCCTCAAGGAAGTGAGGATATTAAGATGTTCCTTCCAGAACCCCCTGAGGATTAAAGTAATTTTAGAGGTCACTTCAAAACATCTGTGAAACAGTGCTTTGTGTAGAGTTCCTTAAAGTTAGGAATGACCTGCTGGTCCATGGGCTGGATGAGAGGAGTGGTGTTAGGTGGCAGGAACCTCACAGGGATGGAGCTGTGCTCCTCCACCCCTGGAGGAGGGGCGGGAGCCTTGCCCATGATAAGAAGTGCCCTGAGTGGCAATTGCTTTTCCCAGAGGTATTTCTTCACACTTGGGGTAAACACTTCATGGATCCACTCAGTAAAAACCTGCCAGGTTATCCGAACTTTGCTGTTAGCCTCCACATCACAATCAACTTGTTTTCATGACATTGTTTTTCTGGAAACGTGGGTTTTCAGAGTGGTAGACCAGTAGAGGCTGCAACCTAAAGCCCCCACTCACATCCCCACGCAGCAGTAATGCCAGCCCGTCCCTCATTGGCTCATGTCCCGGCACTGACTTTTCCTGTGTGATGTAGGTCCCCTTTGGCATTTTCCTCCAGAAGAGGTCTCATCACATTGAACATTTGTTGGGGAACAAATCCCTCAGCCTCTTCATATTCTTGAAATTCTGTCACGAAATTACCAGCGGCTACTTTGTTAGAACTGACAGCCTCCCCACGCCTCACTACACTATGAATGCCACTTCTTTTCTTAAATTTATCCAACCATCCCCTACTAGCCTTAAATGGACCACTTTGAGCACTCCTCCCAGGGGTGTCTCTCAGGAGGTCAGCATGCGGCATCTTCTCTTTTTCACACATCACTGCCTCCAAAATGCTGTCACCAGCTAACTGCTTTTCGTTTATCCAAACCAGCAACAGTTTTCCCACCTCTTCAGTTGCCTTGATCCTTGTTTCGTGAGCACTGTCACGCCCTTAGCAACATCAGCATGTTGATGCCTCTTTATGTTTTAAAATCGTCCTAATCGTCGATTTCACCACAGCGTACTCCGTGGCGTATGATCAAACACCAAACACCTCTATCATACTTTGCAGTTATTTCTTTTTTAAGCTCTATTGTTGTTCTCACAACTTTCCTTTTCACTTCCTTATCACTAACCTTGTTAGGACCCATGGTGACTTACTGGACATATTTAATAATAATCGGCAAAAAACACGAAGATATTCACAGCACAATTTCCTGAGATGTTAACAAGACGAGGTTTAGCAGTAAACTGATTCATACGCAAGAATTCTCTTGTTTGTCACCTCAGAGGCATGTGACTGATCAGATAGATATAAATCAGCATGAAAGGGTTGTTGGATGGAGAACCGAAGTTTTGTTCAACAACCACAACATTTTTTTCCATGAACAACTTGGTTGAGAACTGAATTGTTCAAGATGGGAGACGTTCAAGAACCAAAATNAAATTGTTCAGATGGGAGACGTTCAAGAACCAAAATTTGACTGTACTCTCTTTGCACTGAATGTTTTCTTTCCACTGATGAAAGTGAGCTGATGAGGGTGGGGTGGAGGAAGGAGGAGCTGGAGGCGTTGTGTTCTTGGAAGGTGTCAGAGAACCGGTGGCCAGGACTTGGGCTGGATTTCTGTGTGGACAGGCAGCTCTCCAAGGACCCTGCCACTGGGAACAGAAGTTTGGTTCAGGGGCAGAAGCAGAAGATAGGAGAGTTAGAAGCTTCCTATTGTCCAAAGAACAGAACCTATAGTTTAAATCAGTAATTGTTTATTGATCTGAAATTTGATGGTTTAAAACTTTGTCAAAACTTGAGGAATACAGAAATGAATAGGATATGGCTCTTGTTTGTATGAAGTTTTAGCCTGAAGTTTGGCATATAATCCAAAGGAACAAAGGAGACAAAAGCTTAACTTTCTTTTTTCCCCTCATTAGACCTTCCTCTGGTCTTTCACTGTAGGCACACAGGCAGGAAAAGGAAGAACTACAAAGAGCCGTGAGGTGGCCACTCGGTCGTTAACCAGCCAGGGACCCTTGGAGGGTGCCAACACTGCTGTGTCGCTGTGCTTTCTCATAGGGCAGCCTGCCTGCACAACCTCTGTGGTTCCCTGGCTTTAGTTTGGGGACCCAGAGCAAACCAGACTTCCTGAGGTTTTCCACCCGCCCAGGACAGATTCTCCATTCTCTGGGTGGCTGTCTAGAGGGGCTCCTGCTTTATCACTGTCACCTCAATCTGTTGACAGCCTAAGCGGCCACCTCCCTCTGTTCCCTGAAGGAGGACAATAAGGATACTTAGTAACCATGAGGATGGAATTCAGTCTAACTTAACATGTGAGGACCAACTGCCTTCTCCACAGGGGCAAGACTCAGTGTGTGCCCTCAAAGGCATGACCTAGTGGGGAACGACACAGGAGCACAGGTATTTGGGCATTGTCCCAGCAAGAAGCTAGAGGCCACAGAACATCTCTGGATTTCTCCCACTTTTGTGTTTCCACAGGTGGCCGTTCCTTTAAAGGAGCCCTGCCTGCCCCATTCCCCTGCTGACATCCACATCTTGTTCAGTAGAGAAGGCTGTTGCTAGCAGCCACCTCACCTAAACTGCTCAGGGTCCCTGCAGGGTTGCGGTGGCAGCAGGTGGGAAGGGTGAGGATTAGCCAAGACTGCTTGGTTGCAAACAGCAAGTGCCAACTCCAGCTTGCCTAGGCAAAGAGGAAAATTTGTCACAAAAAGGCAAGGCTGCCTAGAACCCTGGGGTATGATGAGGCCTGGGGAATGGACAGACGGGATCATAAAAACCCTCCAGATCTTCACTTGTATGTCTCACCTCTCAGCACACCAGCCGCACCTCGCGCACACAGGTCAGGGCTCACATGCTGCCCCAGGGCCTACACCCACAGAGGCCAGTTCACCTCCCAGAGAGCAGCTCAGCAATCCCCAGGCCCAAGGCCAAACTCCTGGGAGGAGGAGCAGCTGATTGGCCAGCTTGGGATGTCTTTCCCCTCCCTTCTTGGTACCATGGAAGGGGGCCTGTTGACTCGCTGTTTGGGCAGATGCCCCAAGAGTTATCGACTGACTGGAGAGGAGTGATGGTTCTTTAATCTCCATCCTCCTCGTCTCATATTTAGCTGGGATGGAGAACAAGTTAAGTTAAAAGGGGCTCCCTGAGCCATTAGTCCTCCCATAGAAATAGAGGCCTAAAGCAGCACCAGGAAAAACTGCCATGCTGCCTTCTCCCCAGCCTCCACAGTAGGCTGTGAAACCAGCCTTAGGCACTCAAGTTGAGGCCCTAAACTCAGATGCTAGTGCATTAGAAGCTAGAGGCACAAGACTCTGCTGGAGTTTGAATCAGGTGGCTGAGGCCAAAGCAGCTGGTGAAGATGAGGCTCAGGGGCACTCCCCAGGGGCAGACCTTCGCTATTGCTGCTCCCCAGCACGTGTTCCAGACAGGCGTCGGCAGGCACCTTCAGCCCTGCTCAGAGAGAAGTGTCCGCCAATCCAAGAGGGGTGGTCCTGATGCAGGGGTTAAACCCCTGAGTGTGCAAATTAAATAAGTCGATCAAGGAAGCCAGGCTGACAGTATGTTTGTATTAAGTGAGATGCGTCACTTGTAATTAACAAGACTTTTTGAAAGCTGACCTTTTAACTTCAAGTGGGTCTGCTGGTTAGAGTTTCTGTGGCTTCCTCAGGATTGGTTGGAACACACTACTGGAGCCAGGAAGGCAGTTAAATGCTGGAAACAGCAGCAGAACTAGCAACAGAACCCTGTGCCCCAGAGGCTGTGCCTTCCCTTGGGGGTTTATAAAATGCTAGGTGACTCTGAAGAGCTGGGCCCCATTTGGGGGAAGCTGTATGGGCATATTTTATTATTATTATTATTATTATTATTATTATTATTATTATATTCTGTAACTTCCAAAGAACAGAACTGTGTTTTGTTTTGTTTTAATTTTTAAGAGTTTCATGAATCGGTATTAAGTGGCAATCTGTTTAAATATGTGTTCTTCCTTCTCTGTGTTGTGTTTTCATGTAAGGGAAACTAGTGCTCATGCTTTCCTGTGGATTTTTTTTTTTCATATATCTTTATTGATTTCAGAGAGAGGAAAGGAGAGGGAGAGAGAGAGAAACATCAGTGATGAGAGAGTCATTGATTAAGCCCACAACCGGGGCATGTGCCCTGACCGGGAATCGAACCCTTATCGCCTGGATCCTAGGTCAACGCTCAACTGCTGAGCCACGCCCGGCCGGGCAACCTGTGGATTTTTCAATGTGGGCACATGTGCGTGATAATGGGCAGCATGGGGCTCCCCCGCCCCAGCCCCAGTTGTCTCACCTGTCAGAGGATGGGCTGGGCGAGGCAGTCTCCGCTTCAGGCTTCTCTCATCTGCTGAGGAAACCTAGAGAGAGTTAGCCTTTTTTCAGCCACACACCACTCACTTTCTCCTTTCTGCTCAATTTTTCTATGGTGCTGCCTCACGGATGAGAGCGCTGCGGAGCAGAGTGCAGGTCGATGAGCATGGTCTCAGCCCTCAGTGCTCCTGGCCCGCGGCAGCCTGGCTGCCTGGCTGTGGCCTCTTCACACCCTTCAGCTAAATAGCACCAGGAATGGATTTCCTTGCAATTAAGGAAATGTCTGCATTTTAGGATGCACCATGAAGCTTGGGTGTTATTTCTCTGTCTCTTCTCCAAGGAAATACTATGTATGCTGGATTAAGTTTTGTGTTTTTGTTCATGCTCAACAGCACCATAAAAAAACCAAGATTTTGCCACCTGCTTTGTAGCTGCGCTGGCAAGAGGAGAGGAGCAGAATAGGTTTGGCCAGGGCAGTTTGCATTTGGGTGCAGGAGAGCATTGGCCACTGAGAGAGCAGCTGGGCCGCTTTGGGTTTCAGGCACTGTGACAGCCCTTGGAAAGACCTTCCTAACAGGCCTGCTTTCTCCCCCAGGCATGGGCGGATGCCTTCCGGAGCAGCCCTGACCTCACCGGCGTCGTGCATATATATGAGGAGCTAAAGAGGAAAGGGGTTGAGTTTCCTATGGCAGATTTGGACGCTCTGTCTCCAATACACACACCACAACGGGTAAGCTTCCAGCTGGCATTTTCTAGAAAGACCTATTGCAGAACACACGAGCTACTGCCACCGCCCGCTGCTGCTCTGTTGGATTATTCAGTTTGTCATCACGCTTTCCTGAAGCTCGAGGGCATTGCTCTTCAATAACAAGGGAGTACAGAGTGAGACAGCTGGCTGCCTGGTGATTAAGTGGCTGCAGCGTCTCCCCAGTTTTCTTCCTGACTGTGGAAGAACACGATAGAGGGATCATTCCAGATGTTCTCATGGAAATAGCTGCTTGGGGAAGCTGTTCTGTGAGGGTCATTAGCACCTGCTTTTCAGAGGCCTCAGGAATCTGGTGTGGGGCCAGCACCCACCTTGAGAGCACCAGAGCACCTTGGTGTCAGCAATACAGAGTGTGCACCACTGAACAGGGGGCAGAGAGCAGCTTTTGGCTTCTCCATCTGTACAAGTTAATCAGATGGCTCTAAATGGATCCATTGTCAAATGGACCTAAAATTTATTATGAGCTATGAGCATTCAGCATCAGCCTAGACACCCTTGGGATGCAAAGCCCATGGAAGACCCACTTAGAGGCCTCCCGCTGAAGCTCTTACAACATGGGGCAGCTCTTTTTTCAGAGTTAAAAGCATGCAGGCGAAGCAATTCATCCTTCCCCAGGGCAGTCAGTGCGCACCTCTGCGCTGGGAATCAGTGCCAGGGTCTGGTACAGGCACCTGTCTCAGAACACTCTGCCTTATTGGCCTCTTAGCCCATCTCTGAGATGGGGCAAGGACAGCATGCCCTTGCAGGTCTGCCGTGGGAACAAGGTTCATGTCCAAGAGGTTATCAGAGATGCCCAAAGGGAAAGCACAAAGAACTGTACTTTTTAAAATGGTGTTTTCCTTTGATCCCTCCAAACCACTATGCTTTGTGGCATGCACATAACCTGTTTTATTCTTCTAACAATGACACAGAGCTATGTTGCTGTTCCTGTAATTACGAAGACCATTCAGTAAATTGCATAATTACTATTTATATTAGTCTACTTGTTAAAGCCAAAACGTAATCTTCTGGTACCAAATAAGGATCCCTAGGTGGTCCTAATAATGGAACCGCAAGTAGAGCTCTCAGAGGGCTCTCGCTGCCGCTTGTTGAAGGTAAGTGGCAGGAGGAGCCCTTGGGAGCCCCCATCTCAGATGGAAACACTGGGATCAAGGGACCTTCTTGAGCTGTGATAGTTAGGCCCCCACCTCCTCGCAGGTGCTGTGGTGGGAAGTACTGCCCTGGGTGGGGTAGGTGCCAGGTCCAGCTGCACAGGCAGCCCAAGTGAACAGAGGACTTTGTTGTTGCTGTGCCAGAGTGTTCCTGAGGTGGATCCAGCTGCCACCACGCCCAGGTCCCAGTTGCAGCAGAGGACAAGTGTCGGCTCCTATTCTTCGCCGCCTCCTGCTCCCTTCTCCGCTCCACAGGCCCCGGCTCTGAATGTGACTGGCCCCATCACAGCCAGCTCAGAACAGGTACTTGCATACTTCTAGGACATAGGCAAGCCAGCCAGCTGACCCCGTTTACCCTTCCAGGAGATGAACACAGAGACTACCTAGACCAGGCATGGTGCTGGGGGTTAGTGACACACAGAGGGAAGGGCCCAGCCCCTCTCCCGAGGATTCATAGTCGAGTGGGGGAGACAGGTACAAAGACAGTGAGGATGGTAGTCACGCTGTGGTGGGAGCTGTACCCAAGTGCTCCAGGGCACAGCGGGCCTGGTTTGGACTATTGGTGCAGGTGCAAAGTGACAGTGGGGAGGACACTGGCAGACGGTGAGGCCAAAGCATAGGAATGGAGTAGAATTGTGAGCAGCCTGTATGTCATGCAGAGTTTAGATTTGTCCTGTGGAAAGAGTTGGCTGTCAGAGGCAGTGACCCAGCCAGCATGCACCTGCCTGTGGAGGCCTTTAGGAAGTGCTCTTCCTCCTTCACCCCAAGCACTGCCTGCCTCCCTGAAAGATTTCCTGAGAAGTTAAGAGCTTCTTAACCCCAAACTGTTTTTTCAGGTGAGATGTGGAGACTGGTCTTTAGGTGACTCTCTAGAATTTCCATTAGTTAAAATTTGAGAATTGGTCAGACTTGAACCCATCCAATGTTTATATTTTTTAAATCTTCATTTAATATCTGTGACAATGTCATTATTATGGAACCTCATTTAAAAAGAGGGTCAGGCCCGGCTGGGCGTGGCTCAGCGGTTGAGCGTCAACCTCGGATCCAGGCGATTGGGGTTCGATTCCCAGTCAGGGCACATGCCCGGTTGAGGGCTTGATCAATGACTCTCTCATCATCGATGTTTCTATCTCTTTCCCTCTCCTTTTCTCTCTCTTAAATCAATAAAGATATGTTTAAAAAAAAAAAAAAGAGGGTTAGACAACTCAGTCTGCTCAGCGGAAATGTTGTCCAGGGCCCTCATGTCTCAGCTGTGCTGGCTCCCAGGAGGGAGTGTGATGGGAAGAAGCTGTGAACTAGGAAGCGGACAGGCCTGGGCTTCGGCTCGTCACTTAGCCTCAGTCTCCTGTCCATGGAATGGGGCAGTAATCCTTCCCTCTTACCCTACGGGGCAATCACGGGCCTGAGGGGCCATTGAAGGCTATACCTACCCAAGTTCTGTGTGCACTGCTGAGGAGAGATCATTGACACTCACAGCTCAAACGTGGCATTTACATTAACTGCGGCCTCACCTTGCTGAACTCTGCCCTTTTTCATTACCTATGATGACCAGGACCTGGCCTCAAAAGGGGAGCCCTGGGAAAGAAGGTCTCTGGCTCCAGGCTCTGCCTCCATGGGCAGAACTGTAGCCCCCTTCTTCTCAGAGGGAAGGCAAACATGTTTGAAGTTGAATGGCCCCTTGAGGCCTTTTGCTGACCCGTAGTCAGTGTGCAGGAACTGGGGAGGAGCCCTCCCAGCAGCCAGAACAGTCAAGAGGGGTTTTGAATGGATGAGAGGGCATGAGAATTGCCTGGGGGACGGGGAATGAAAGCAGAGACCCATAGGAGACCAGCCTGGCCTAGAGGACCCCAGGGCTTCAGAGCCCACATGGTTCCTGTCGCAGTCTTGGGCCTCCCTGGCCAGAAACCTCTTGTCAGCCAAGACATGGGCCGTCTACCCCTCAGGCAGAGCCAGAGGCAGAAGGGAGCCTGTCAGGACCTTGCCTGTCACCCTGGCTGACCATTCCTCCCATCTGTCCACCCAGTAAACATTCATCGAGGGCTCCTGTCCCTGTCCCTGTGCTGAGGTACAGACCTCAGTGCAGCAGAGGCCCTATCCCCAGGGTCTGGGCACAGGATAGGGAGGGGCCTGCAGGAAAAGGTGGGGGAGAGTCAGAGAAGGCTTCTCCAGGCACAGGGGTCAAGTGCAGTTAAAAGTGATAGCAGAGCCTGGCTGGGCGTGGCTCAGCAGTTGAGCGTCAGCCTAGGATCCAGGCCGTCAGGGTTCGATTCAGTCAGGGCACATGCCCGGGTTGCCGGTTCGATCCCTGGTCGGGGGCGTGCAGGAGGCTGCCAATTAATGACTCTCTCATCATTGATGTTTCTATCTCTCCCTCTCCCTTCCTCTCTCTGAAATCAATAAATATATATATATTTTTTTTTAAAAAGGAGTGATAACTGTCTGCACATTCTAGCAGTATTGGTATGTGTATGCTGACACTGTGGGCATTTTCACAATAGTTACTCACAGCAACCCTGCAAAATGTGGGTACTATTATTTCCTTTTCACAGGTGAGGAAATAGGCTCAGAGAGCTTAAGGTCCATCCTTATGGTGTTCCTGCTGCAGGAGAGATGCCCAGGCTTTGGGGAGCTCTGTTGGATGAGTGGGTTGGTAGCTTGCAAGGGGTCATGTTACCCCTTGGTAGGGAGCTAGGTAAGCAGTGGGCCTCCCCAGTGGTCTTCTCTCAGTCCCTCTCCCTCACTCTTGCCACACCAGAAAAATGCAATTAACACTGGCCAGCCCCTCAGAAGAACATCGTATTTCAAGTATAAACTGCAAGGAGCCAGAACCTGTAACTATTAGGCTCCTCAACAAGGATCCCAGTGCTGAAGGGACCTTGGGGTCATGCACTCCACCTTTCACCCAGGGGAGCAGAGACAGCCTGAGAGGGTAATTCCCTGCTCCACGGCCTGTGTGGGCACGTGGAGACCGCAGACCAGCTCAGTCTATCTGCACCCAGCATGCTTTCTTTACCCAGCGCTGCCTCAGTCATGGGCAAAGTTCCTAGTGGCAAACTTGGGTAACCAGGCACTCTGGGGTAGTCTCTCAGACCAGAGTGAGACTAGGCAGCTTCTGCTGCACTCATTCAGAAGTGTGACCTACTTGTCACACTGAATATGACTGTCACCAGCCAGGTACAGGTGACTCACCTCTACTTCCTGCTTTCCTCTTCCCGGCCCCAACAGATTGCCAGACTGAGGAGCGAACTGGATATTGTCCGAGGGAACACAAAAGTAATGTCTGAGATGTTAACGGAACTGGTCCCCGGGCAGGAGGATTCATCCGATCTGGAGTTGCTGCAGGTGAGGGGGACCTTGTCTTCTGGGGCTCTGGGCCTGGGGACGCAGCAGTAATAGAAGGACCGAGACCTTGTAGGCTCATACCCAGCCTCACACTTCCTAGAAATGGTCAGAGGCCAGTACCAGGCTTTCTCCTTTTTATTTTCCTTAATAACGTTTTTCCTGACTATAAAATGCCACATGCAGAATACATACCCCTCTAAAGAACAAGGACATTCAAAGGAGAAAATAGTCATTTTCTTTAATGCCAGCATCCAAAATAACCAGTCGACACTTTGATATATTTTCTTTCAGACGTTTTTCTATGTTTATTTCAAATGTAGTTGAGATGATATGATATTATGTGTATGATCTTGTGTATTGCTTTACTCCCTCAACATCATCAAATGTCGTAAACCTTTGCAATGGGACTTCAGCCTTTCCTGTACATAGGAGCCCTCTAGCCATACCTTACCCCCCAGATATCCCTGAGTCAGGTGAAGCAGAAGCCCCTTTCTTTTTCCAACACTGAGCATTCCCAGGCTGAGGTTGCCCACACTCTGGTTCCTGAGGCTCTGTTGTTTGCTGGCCTCTCCTCCCCTGGACACCTTGCAGATCTGGAAACATGGCAGGAAGGGTCCAGGGGCATGGCTGGCCTGCAGGGAGGCCCTCATACTGGAGCCAGAGATCCTGCCTCAGGCCTGTTTCCCAGGCCAGCCAGGCCCAGAACTAGCAACCAGATCTCCAGCACTGCCATCCCAGTTGCTTCTGACATGTGTAGAAAATGGCAGTGGCACTGCTTTAGTGACCTTCTGAATGGGTGGAGAGAGTATGCTGTAAGCTCCAAAGTGCCAGATCGTTCAGTGGGAGGCAAGATGCTTGAGTAAACAAACCAGGAGCCAGACTGGCCTGGTGAACCAGCGTGCGTGCATCATGACGTGCCTCTGTTGCTATTCTTGCCTGCGCTCAAGTTGTCAGTCTTGACCCCTGAGTGCCACATGTCCCATATGCTGTTGGCACACACCTGCCGCCTGTGAGGGCCCAGTGGGGTGGCCCTGTCCTTCAGGAATGCACACAGCCATTTCTTGTCGCACCCCCTCCTCCTTCGAAGCCATCAGCTCCTGGGGGGTGAGCATGGTGGAAGCCTGCTCTGGGCCTAACACAGAGCAAAGCCTAGAGGCACAGAGATGCATGGGCCAAGATCCCTGCTCTGCAGGAGCTCACAGCTTAGTGCAGGGACAGACAGGAGAACAGCTCATCTGCACAGAACCATGATATCCGGCTGCTCTTGAAGCCAAAATGAGTATCCTCTGCCAGCCTGAACAAGGAGATCTGAGTGGCCCCTCCCTAGTTCCCAGACTTCTTCTTATACCTGCAGCAGACCAGGATTACCTCAGTTGAGCAGGTCCAGCTGTCCACATGTCACACTTCATGGGACCCAGCATCCCATTAATGTGTCACTGGCCTCCATTCCCAGCCTGGGTCAGAGGGTTTTTTCAGGCGTTACCGATGCACTGGAATCTGAGGTCAGTCTGGAGGCAGTACAGAAGCTGAGAGGGCTTCTTAAACAGCTCTGTGCTGTGTCAGCATCAGAATTCCTGCTGACAAGTGGTTTGCAGTGGACAGAACTGAGCTCTTGGCAGCGGGGGGAAGCTGAGCAAAGCCAGCCTGCTTCCAGACAGCCCAAGCAGACCAGGCAGCAGGATTATTCTGTGTGTGTGTGTGTGTGTGTGTGTGTGTGTGTGTGTTCTAAAACAAGCCCATCAGCCAAGACAAACAGAACCTAATCTCCTGGCATCAGCTCACAGTTTTCAAAAATAGGTTGCTTCCCATGACGTTTTCCCTCCCTCTGTTTTGTTCCAACTCTAAGCCTACCAGCCTCACTGCTATCTTATAAATCGAACAGAGAAAGAATGGTTCTGGGTACCAGGGGGAGGCTGTCCTTTTAGCATGGAAGCTTCAGGAGTCGAGCAGCTCTGTGTGAACAGACACAGCTGCCCCGGCTGTGGGCCTCACTCTTCGTCATTCCTGACATCTTTCCTCTCTTCCTCCCCCATCTATCAGAAGCCAGCCTGGCAGGGGCTCCCAAGAGTCAGGGTCAGACCAAATAGTGGGCCTTCCACATGGGAAAATGCAGTCTGCTTAGAAAGTGCCAGGATCAGAATGTGCCCTGAGAACCCTGCAGTCGAGTTGGAGGGCAGCCAGATTGCTTAGAGTAGAAGCTGTTTAGAGCTCACAGTGCTGGCCAGGGCCATGGAAATAAACACTTTCGTCACCAACTCAAATGTTCATGCCAACAAAAACTGCTCCCGTCTCAAGTGTAAATTGCTGGGTAGGAGGTGGAAGAAATGGGAAGAGAGGAAATTGGAGGTGTCTGTCCCGGGATGCACTGGTGTGACAGACCATAATTATGGGTGGGTTATGTCCCTATTCCTTCCTTTGAGTCACAGGCCCTTTCACGTGCAGCCTCGCTGCAGGCCTGCAGAGTGGCAGAGCAGCTTTCTGGGGTGCTATGTGCCTGAGGACTCGGGTGGTTACCTGTGGTCACCCTGCGCCCCTGCGTTGTCAGCCTGGCTGGAGCTCCCGGAAACATAAGGCAGGACACCCTGAGGGCACACAGCAGCTCCTCAGTGTGTGGAGCTGTTTGCTCTGAGTCTGGAGAGACCTAGGCAGCTCATCCGGGTCCACACCTGTGCTCAAACTCCCTAGACAGCAGTTTGCCTGCCTCCTTCCCAGCACCCTCAACAATGGGCTCTTCAGGCCAGCCAGGGAAGCGCCGTTTCCCGAGCACATGTCGGTTAGGCTTCGGGAAGCAGCGTAGCAGGGCAGGAAGAGCGAGGGCTCAGGAGTCACTGGATTAGCATCTGGGTTCAACTGCTGACCAATGATGAGCTGGGTGATTCTTGGCGAGTCCCCGGTCCCTAGAAGCTTGGTGTAATCCCTGTCACCAGAGAAGGATTGGAAGTCATCTGTTTACAGTGCCAGCTCAGGGCCAGACACAGGCACGCCACTCACCGGCTGGAGCTCAAGCCTGTCTCCCTGAGACTGCTCCCCTGGTCTATCTTCTTTAACAACAGTAGGAAACACATTCCTCTTTCACATGGTGGGTCCTAAATACTTGAAGACTGCCCTGGCCCAGTCTCTGTGTGCTACAGATGTGGCTATTGGCAGCCCACCTTGCAGATGACCAGGCAGTTATCAGCAGGACACAGACATTAAAAATTGAGAGCTTCCATCAACTGGAAATCCTCCTCTGCCTCTTTCTCATGTTTCTGTTAAGCCATATCTTCCCCATCCTGTTTGTGGGCACTTGAGTATGGGCCTAAAAGGTGAGGTTTTGCATCTGTGTCTGCGAACGTTCATGCCCTTAACTGTAGCCGTGAGTCCAACTTTTTGGACACTAATAATCCTGATGCTGTCATTCAGTACCGTCTGTCTTTTTCAAATTGGCTTCGTGAACTTTGTCTTCAAGTAATAATAACTTTTAATTAATTGAGTGGTGCTAAAAGTGGACATTCCTGCATGGCCACCCATCAGGTAACGAAGGAGCCTTCTTCCATGCTGTTTCTTCAGGTAGGAGAGGGCAGGCATGTCCCCCCGTGCTTCTTTCTTCTTGCATGTCATTGCAACAAAAGACTGGGTGGCCAGGGCCATCTTCTCTGGAGAAATCTAGTTTATTCTACATGTTTAGTTTCATTATTTACCCTTCTCTTCCACAGAGGATTTCTCCCTTCCCTCTCCTTTGCAGCTCTAGGAAGCAGGTCTGGGCCTTATTCCATGCTCCTTAGGGCTTGGAGAAGGTTTGGAGGGCACCCTAACAATGAGCAAAAGGTGGCTTTGTGAAGTGGGGCTGCAAGTGTCCTTGAAGAAAAGAGAAAGGCATTGGGAGTAATTAGAGAAGAGAGGATATATTAATAAGATGTTCTGATAGGTGAAGGGCTTTTGCACAAAGAGCAGTAACTTGCTGTTCTCCCTCGGTTTTGAAAACCAGCCACAGAAGGAGGCCAAAGCCGAGACTGTCCACGTTTCAGAAGTCCCTGCCCCAGTGGTCGCAGTGGGAAAGGCTGTCTGGCCAAGCCACAGCTCTCTGTGTCTAAAGACCAGGGTCTGCTCTGTCTGGAGGCCTGTAGGTGGAGGGAGGCAGAGGAAGGTCTCCCAACTGTGCCTGCCATGGTCTGGCTGTGGATGACCCCACTTGAGGCCATGGGGGTGGCTAGCTGGTGTTTGTGGTGGCAAAAATCTTAACATTCTAGTCCTCCTCTTGCCTTCGATCGCTTTGGTTCTTTTCTTCCTGTTTAATTTTATTTTAAGACAGTGACAAAAGGTTGAATCACGGAGATGGTAAAACTTTCTCTCTGCAGAGACCTCTCTGGAGATCCCTGACTCAGAAGCCCCAGGCCGGACTCTCTGGGTGCTCCTCTGGGACCGGAGTATGGGTGGCTCTCTGTCTGTGGGGTCAGGGTGTTTCCCTATCACCCCAGCAGAAGGCAGAGGGGGAGATGCTACAAGTGCAGGGCTGGAGCAGGATGACCTCACTGCACTCCGTGTCCTTGGGTCTCATTCTTCCTCCAGTGTTAGAGCTAGCAGAGGTCTCAGAAGTCATCTATCATTTTCTAAACACTTCTGTAAAGGATTGGAACTCTTTTCTCTACAAATAAAATTTTACAGAGAACTGAATATTTAAAATAGATAAAAGCAGAGCTGCCTTGGCTGCCATAGGGTGGGGTGCCCCAAACCCCATGCTGTGAAGGCACCTCAGTGGCCTTCTGCAGAGGGTCACCATTTCTCCAACCCCCTGGTTATACCCAGGGAGAAGCAAGCCCATAGAGTGCTGGAGGCCTTGGAGAGCTAATGCGGATGACGGGGTGAGGACAGTGATGGGAAACTGGTGGTCTGGGCAGAACAAGGGGTCAGAGCACTTTAGATCAAGGTTCTCCTCCTTCCCCTCCAGCCCAGCCTGGTGCTGACCTTCCCTCCTCCGCATCTCTGCTGCTGTTGGGATTGACGACCTACCTGGGCTGACGGCCTGGTAGGGAGAGAGGGGTTATGAGTATCCAGTGATTTGCTTGAAGCCCTCCTCTTTCCAGGGATGATCCTGCCTTCTCCAAAACCTAGAATGGTAGTCTTAGGAGAACCAAGAATGAGAATCTGTTCATAGAAAACCCCAGAAGGTCCAGACACCAGACTTGCTGCTGTCCCTGTTGACCAAGAGAGACTGACAGCAACATTCTGGCTGTGCAGAGGGCTAGCAGCGGGGTAGAACCAAGTCACAGGGCCATGTTTTCATAACCAGCTAGACAGGGCCCAAGGACCCAGCAAGCCAGAGCATCTCCAAATGAAGCTCTTCTTTAGGGTGAGCACCAGACTCTTTTATACCCAGCTGCCTAAATCTAGTACCTTCTGTCTTAAAAAATACAGCTGTACTGGGGTGATTCTGGGCTGACCCCCATGGGCCAGGCTTCTTTCCTCAGCTTCCCCTGACCTCATGCCCCCCCCCCC